AGCATGGCAAAAATGCATGGTTTAAATGGGCCTGTTACAGGCAGTGAGTACTGGCTTAACCTCTTCAAATGTGAACTAGAAGGTTCTGGGTGTTTTGGCCACAGGAAGTGAAGGATTTCTGGGTGTCTTGAGCACTAGGAGAGCTGAGGACTGTCCTACTGTAAGGACCAAGGATAAGAAGGGGAAGGAGAGACCAAGGGGTAAACTACTGGGTCTTCAGGATGGGGGGGAGGACCAGTACTTTGTGTGCAGCCCCATAGCATCCCTGAACTAGCATCTCTGCTCGACTAATCCTGAAAGGTCCCTGAACTACAGCTTTAGAATCAGGATGAGGCAGTCGTACTGACCCTCACTGCTTGATAGCCCGTTCCGAGAGGACTTCAGACACTAAGGCAGGGTGACTTTTAGAAAAGTGCATAGGATTGTCACAGCATCCTCCTGGGAAAGAGGAAGAGGGTGTGGCACCGCCCTGCCAGCTTCTCCTGCTGGCCTGCATTCAGATGGAGCGAGTACTTTGTGAATGCTGTTGTTTCCTCAGAGTGGCATCCTGTGTTATTTGAAGAGTGTGCAAGACACTCTAAGCAGCCTTCACAAAAGGACACACCATTTTCACTGTATATATGGGGAAATCAAGGTTCAGTCGGTTTATTTACCTTGTCAGAGCTAATTGACAGGCCAAAGTAGAGCTGGGACTCCATGACACCCTATCCACTGCCAGGGTCCCTCTATAGCTGGTGGCCCTGTAGTTATATGTCTCAGGTAGTCACACAGTGAACTCTCGGCTGCCACCCCACTTCCTTTCCTGGTTCTTCCCCCAGAATACAGCTTGTGACTCCAGAGAGCTGGTCAAGGCCGATGGGTGATCTGGGGACATGAAAAATAAGGCTGACCATTCTACAGCTTCACAGACCCGGCCTGAGCCTTGGGAATCTGCCAGAAACCCCAGAGACGCTGTGAGCATAGCCAGACGGGGGGGGGGGGGGGGGAGAGAAGGAGGCGCCTCCCCACACATGAACATGTGTTGCTCTATTTTTAAGATCCCTCCTTGGAAGGCAGCAGGCCTTGGAACACGTGCAGTTTCCAAACTGTGAGATGGAGCACACAGCTCAGTTCTCCAGAGTATCCATGCTGACTATCCTCTGTCTGCATGCATTTATACCCCCACCTACCCACAGCCTCACAGGACGCCACATAGTAATGATAAACACAACCCAGGTAGGGTAGACACACACACAATGCCGGTGCCTGAGAGGCTGAGGCAGGAGGATCCCAAGCTCAAGGCCAGCCTCAGCATCTTTGCGAGAGTCTGTCAATAAATCAGAAAATAAAGGCCAGAGAGATTTCTCAGAGGGTGAAGACACTTGCCGTGGAACCAGACAACCTGGATCTGAGCTACAGGACCCACAGACTGGAACGAGAGGACTGACTCCCACAAGCTGTCCCCTGATCTGCATGTGCAGTCACACAGACACACACAATGAGGGACATATGGGCCTGTACAAATATAAAGACACAATACACAGGTACACTTTGTCATACATATGCCTACACAAAAGCCTACCACGCACGCACACACCATAGCACGAATGTGCCTGCCCCCCCACACACATACAAACCACACACACACAGAAACACACACAAGCACACTCAAATAAATAAACAAGTAAAATATTGACCAGAAATGGTGTTGCACAGCTCTGATGGCAGCATAAGGAAACAGAGCCAGATCTCTGAGTCCAAGACCAACAAGCTCTATGAAATGAGATCCAGACCAACAAGTCTACACCGTGAGTCCCTGTCTCAAAACAGCGACAACAAAAAAAAGAGTGAAAAATTTAATGAAGATAAATAAATAAACAAATAGATTAGAAATACAGTTCGGTGGTAGAGTGCTTGCTTAGCATGTGTGAGGTGCTGGGTTCAAAACCAGCACTACAAAAATACACAAGCAGCAAATAAATAAATGTTTGTTTAGAGGTTTCTTATAAAGCAATAAACAAACAAACAAATAACGGATGCAATATGATTGTAAATGCATTTAACTTTTAAAAAGAATTCCTTTATTTTTAATTATGCATGTTGGGGGCAAGTGTGTATGTGTGCACGAGCCAGACTCCAGTGGAGGCCAGAAAAGAGTGTCAGATCCTATGGAGCTAGAGTTACAAACGATTTTCTGTGGGGGTTGGGAACGAAACTCCAGCCCTCTGAAATTAACATCGAGCCATCTCTTTAGCCCCTTGTTTAACTTTTGGAACTCATTAAGAGGCCTTCTTGCATAATAGTGGTCTAGGTGCCCGAAGAAGGAGGCATGAAATCAGAAAGGATGATGCATCCTTTTACTGAAGCCTGTGGCACACAGTGAGTAAATGGTATTGCTGTTGTCTGTGTCTGTCTGAGCAGTGCTGGAGGTCACGGGGTCAGTTATCAAACCAAATAAACAAAGATATCAGCTCTTAGAAGGTGCCTCCTGTAGCCTTTCATTGGTGGCTCTTTGAACTTGACTTTCACACACAAGATAATAGCTAAAAATTCCACATAATGATGGGGACTCAGCCTTGCCCATAACACACAAGGAACCTAGGGAGCTGAAATCGTTTTGTATTCTAGCTACATCCGGAAACCCAGACCCTGTCAGCAGACCCTGGCCCTTGCTGCAGATGAGATGGGTCGGCTCTGGTCCTGGAAATGGGTCCAGGCCAGTAGCAGCTGTGACTCCCCACAGTCCACCCAGGTTTCCTGGTCCCAACACACCAGTAATTCATGCTCTCGGAGCTTTGCTTTCCCATAGCCTATGTGGGGCTTCAATTTGTCAGTGTGCAACTTGAGCCACAGAGGTTATGGCTGTGTCACCTATGGACACAGCTGGATCCAGTCTTGACCCTGGTGCAAGGTGCTCAGTGACACACTGTTTAGAGAGGGTCCCTTTTGGGGACACATGGGCTGAAGATGAAAACTTGCAATTAAAGGTTCTGTTGTGAGCCTTCCCGGCTCGGAGCAGAAAGAACAATCTAGAAGGGTCCAGAGTTGTGGTCACTGAAGAGCCCCCTCTGAGGGCCTGCACCGCCCTTGCGCATAGCCAGGGCCTTTGGATGGTATTTTCCTAGCTGGTTTTAAGCAAACACCTTGTCATAATATTTGTGCTAAGTTGCCATTTATGATTTCTTTTTTTTTTTTTTTTAAGCTTCAACACTATTGCAAAAGAAAGCGTTGGAGACAAGGCTGGCTTAGCCAAAAGGTCAGGACTAGAAAACCAAACATGAGCTCAATCTGCCTTTGAGATGGCCTCTCTCAGGTGGCTGCAGCTCCTGTGGCCACTGGCTATGGCCCACCTCTGGGGAACCTCCTGATTGAGGAGGCCAGGTTGTTGGGGGTTGGGTCTAGGTTAGACCAAGAACACCACAGGGCAGTGAAGTATGGGGCTGATATAGCCCAGTGCTACTTCCTTCCAATCATGTCACAACCAGCAGCTCCTACCCGCCCACCCCTGCTCATTTAGCTGGTGCACAGCGTCTGTCAGAGAACGAATATCGTCTCATCTGGGGCAGTTTTTAAGCCCTCTTAACCTGCAAAGTTGATGGGCAATCAACCAGAACCCATCAGTGCAGATTCAGTTTCCCTTCAACAAAGAAGAAGCTGAGGCTCAGAAAGGCAGAGGACGCTTGCACAAATACTAACAGCCCGTTCAACCCCACGGCCTCAGTCTGCTGTACTGGTGTCTAGCAAGGGGACACGCTTGTTTCCTTTGAACACTGCTTTCGTGTGTTAAGATTTCACAGATTAGATTTCACTGCTTAGCTTGTGTCTAAGCAGGCACTCCCAACACAGTTTGAGAGCTCAAGTTTGAGGGTCTCCCTGCTGACTGAGCCTGAGCCTCAGGCCGTGTCTGGATCCCTGTTGAGTTGAAGTCACTTCTCTCATTATCCTCTGACTCTCCGCAACCCACTCGGCTTTCCTAGTCCCAGGACAGCAGGTGTAGCCAGCGGAGTCTATACAGTCACAGTGGTCCCTGAGCCTTCCCTTCTGCCCTTGGCCTCAGCAGCTTCCAATGGGGGTTGTTTGGAGGAAGAGTGCAGGAGAAAGGCCAAGAGGGCCAAGTAGGGAAATAAAGGCAAGGGCCCTGGGACAAGCAAGATGGCAGCAAGCCTGGAAGCTCTTGCCAAGACCCCTGCCAAGGAGGACAAGATGAAACGACCCTTGTTCCCTTGGTCCAAGACGGGGACAGAGTCCCCTGGGAAAAGCTGAGCTGGGCTGAGTGCAGAGGCTGCCATGTTTCCTGCAAGGACACCCACAAACCTGCCCTGCCCCTTTGAAACCCTACAGGGCACTAGCTCTAATAGTTACTGCTAGTGACCAAATCCAGGTGAGTATAAGACGAGCCCATTATACTCAAAGGTAGCATAGGACCACGAGATTTGCACTGTGTTTCTGCTCTGTGCTTTCCCTCACCCAACCCTTCACAAGCTAGAGGGCCCCCCTGGGTGCTCCTGGCACCCCGCAGGCACCCAGAATGGAGGGGGCCCAGCCAGCTGTACAAAAGCCCTGCCATACGAGCAGGGTGCCGCCCCCTTCCCCGCCTTCCCCCAGTACACCCTGATGTCCCTGAGCAAGCTGCAGGCGACCAAGGGTAGCTTCCTTTTTGAGGTGGGAGAAGTTGGGACAATCAATCCAATCGAGCAATCGATCGGGGGAGAAGACTGTGCTGCCCAGGAGAGGTTGAAAGGAAAGCGCCAATATCCACTCATTCTACCGCACCCTGTAGGGAATCCTTGCTCCCTGGGGTGCTCATTCCAGCCCAGGTGGTCTCCGGGAAGGTGCAGGACAACCATAAGCCAGTATCGGGTGGGGAGGGGACAGTGGCCGTGGCCACGTCTCTGCCTCTCCAACACCCCCCTCCACTGCTGGGCGCGCCGCGCAGCCGCCGGCTCAGTGGAGGCGCGAGGAGCCCGGCAGGCTCCAGCGCAGCAGGAGGTGTGCGAAGTAGGGTGCGGGGAGAGCGCGAAGCAAAAGAGGGGGAACGAGGGTGAGCACGCTGGGCAGCCGTGCGTGCGCTCGGCTCTGCGCCACAGGCTCGCCCGAGGAATCACAAGCCAGAAGGGTCGCGGTCCTGAGGAGGTTTCGCCGTCACCAAAGCGTGCAGAGAACCAAGCACAAAACCTGGAGGTCGGTAGCATCCCGGATCCAGGCAGACTCGGGACCAGGAGAGTGCCAAGGAAGAGCAAAGCCGGAAAGCAGATCCCAGACTCTGGAGGGGAAAGAAGAGTGGATCCCGGTGCCGGCACGTCGCGAGCCCCAGAGCTCCCGGGACCGTTTGGATCCTGCGCTTCGCCGCTGGACGGCACGCCCCCCTTAGCTCCGGCACCCTCCCCTCCGGACGCCTCTACATCTGCCCCTGGAGGGACTTCCATCAGCAAAGGTGCAGGACAAAGCCGCGCACTCGGCGGCGCCCACCATGCACCTCAACAACTCCGTGCTGCAGGAGACCCCTGGTGAACCCGGCGCCCAGCCCTTCCCGCGGCTGCAGTCCGGACTGGAGGCGATGCTCCTGGCGCTGGTCTTGGGCAATGGCTCAGGCAATACCTCGGAATCCGTCCTGGCAGCGCCCAACAGCGACCTGGACGTGAACACTGACATCTATTCCAAGGTGCTGGTGACTGCTGTGTACCTGGCACTCTTTGTGGTGGGCACTGTGGGCAACTCAGTGACAGCCTTCACTCTGGCGCGGAAGAAGTCTCTGCAGAGCCTGCAGAGCACCGTGCATTACCACCTGGGCAGCCTGGCTCTGTCCGACCTGCTCATTCTGCTGCTGGCCATGCCGGTGGAACTGTACAACTTCATCTGGGTGCACCATCCCTGGGCTTTTGGGGATGCCGGCTGCCGTGGTTACTATTTCCTGCGCGATGCCTGCACCTACGCCACGGCCCTCAACGTCGCCAGCCTGAGTGTGGAGCGCTATCTGGCCATCTGCCATCCCTTCAAAGCCAAGACCCTCATGTCCCGCAGCCGCACCAAAAAATTCATCAGCGCCATATGGCTAGCCTCGGGGTTGCTGGCTGGGCCCATGCTCTTCACCATGGGCCTGCAGAACCGCAGTGCCGATGGCCAGCACCCCGGGGGCCTGGTGTGCACACCCATTGTGGACACAGCCACCGTCAAGGTCGTCATCCAGGTAAGAGTGTCTAAGTGGGGCCTCTGTGCTGCACCATTTTAGAGGGCATGCCAGGGCAGCCAGTTTCCTGTCTGGCTGTTTCTTTCCATTGGAGCCACGCAGAGACTTTTAGCAGAGTCACCTCAGAAGCCCCAGTGAGTCAAGGCGCCACCTGGGGAGACACAGCAGTGTCGCCTTGTGGAAAGAACTGAGCCTCAGCAGCACTTTCTTCTCCCTTGTCCCAAAGCAAGCCCCAGTGACACTATCCTGAGTGCTGCGTACTGAGAGAGCTCAGCTGCTCCTAGGAGGCTGGGAAGGGACAGAACACCTCCATTACCTCATTTCTTCTTCCTCAACTTTTCACTCAGTCCTCTCTCCCACCCTACTTCCTCCCTCCTGTTGAAGGGGCCTTGAACCATTATCAATGACTGACTTCTCTTTATCCACTGTAAGCCTGAGGGTGCTCTCAGGGAAGAGGGCTGCCATCAGCCTTTCAAGAGGCTACAGGATTGCCCGACCCCCAGGCTGGCTCCCCACGGCCTTCTGGCTGAGTCTCCTGGACCCAAACCCAAGAGCTAGAGCTTTAAACCTTGGCCTTGTTCCTGGTTGAGTTGCAGTTTCCCCACCTGTGAAGTGAAGTGACCATAACATTGAGGAGAGAGCTGTGAGAGGGTTCACGGGTCCCCAGAGCCGAGAGCACTCCAGGTCCTGGCTGCTGGGGATGATGTTTCTGCAGAGCAATCTGGGGTGTCTGGGTGTGGAGGGCTGTGTTGAGGCAAATAGGCCTGGGGTGCTTGAATACAGTCCTCTGTGGATCGGAGCATAGCACCACAGGAACCTGATGGGATTCCTCCTTGGGTGTCACTAGAAGAGTGGGGGTTCAAATTGTGGGGAGCTTCTCAGAAAGGGACCATGAGGTGGGAAGGGGGTATCCACAGGGGAAGCCAGAGCAGAAATAACATTTTCAGCCAGGCATGGTAGTGCCAACACACCAGAGGCTGCGGCAGGAGGATTATAAGTTTGAGGCAAGCTTGGGCTACACAGTGAGACCCTGTCTGGGAAACAGTGAGAAAGAGAGAGAAAGAAAAAGAAAAACGAAGAGAGAAAGTTTTGAATAATTTCTTGGCCCTAGACCCTGGGCAACCATGGAGGTAGAGGGAGGGTTCTTCTTCACCCCAGGGTGAGCAAAGAAGGCAGAGAATGGAAGGGTCTGGACAGGGGGCTCCTGCCATGTCAGAGAAGGGCCTCCAGGGAAGCTGGCTGCCCCATGTCTGTCACTTTTCTCACAAAGCCGTCCATAGACTCCCACAGCCTCCCAGCAAGAATCCCATGGTCCTTTTGGAAGCTACACGGTATGTCCAGGTGCTACCCAGAAACCAGAAATGCTGTGTTGGTTGTCATTGGCATTCAGATATTGGGCAGTGCCTAGCTCATCTCTGAGGTGGACCACAGGGTCAGAAATACACTGGTACTATAAGTGTCCCTGTGTAGGGTCCCTCCTGAGCTGCCATTCTCAGCAGGGGTGAGTCAGTGCTCAGTTTTTCTATCAAGATGCTGCACACATTCACTGGGTGCTTCGTGTGACAGACGGTGGGGACTCACCATGGCTCCCTGCTTCCTTTGAGCCATCGTGTTCCTCTCTTCACACTCCTGTCTTTGATCGGCCCATGCTGTTTGGAGACAACAGTCTCTTCGGCTGTAAGGCCTCATTAAGGGGTGTCTCCTCCCTCCCAAAGCTCTGCTGTCTGGGGCTTGTCATTGCTTGGCAGCTTCGGGCCCATTTGACTGAGTCCTGGTCACTGTCCATCAGCAATGCTTGCTGAGTACCCATCCTGGGTGAGGCTCCCCTGTAGCCATCAGTGATGGCTGAGTGTTTACTAAGTGCCTGCTGGATGCCTTCCTGCCTCTGGAGAACAGTTTCTATTTTCCCTTAGAGGACTCGGCCTCATTCTTGGAGTGACTGATTACGGTGTGTCCTTCGTCCATCTGACGTGAGCAGCTGACCAGGTCTCTCTGGCTAGAACACAAGCTGCTCTGGGTACCTGACGAGACCATTCCTCAGGAGCGTCATGAGCTCTCTCACTGAGCCTTCCTGTACGACTATCTACCATATGATGAAGTGTTTTGTTTCCCGGGATCATGGGGTTTGGGGTGCCCACCGAGATGTCTGGGGACCTGAAGCAGATCTGTGTGGCTGGCTTCTGTTCTACAGTGTTCCCAGGGCTGACCATCCCATGATTCCATCCTCATGACCATATTTGGAAGTACTGAAGTATTGGCCTTTTTCCAAAACAGGAGCATTCCCCCGTCTTAGTGCCTTCCTCGAGGACTGCTACTCTGCAGGCTTTAAGGATTCCATCTCAGGCCCTTGTAAACATAAGCTATTCAAAAATGAGCTGAGGGTTGGGTGGTAAAACTTCCGGACAGCTGAGAACATTTTAGAGGTCAGGTGTTTGGGGTAGGACCAGGCAGGCAGTGGGAGAAGCCAAACAGCAGGTAAAACCTGATGCCCAGCTCCTCCTAAAGGCTTGAGATCTGGCTGATACCCGGGGGCAGGAGGAAAAGCTGGAGACCTGGGGGCTTCATTGTGTCCTGAGCCTCTTGTGGTCCTCAAGCTGCCCAAGCCAGCTTCCTGCTCTGACCTCGGGTCTTCCAGTTCTGTGTTGTTAACTTTGGAGCTCGTGCCCCAGACTATAGCTCAGATAGGTCTCATGTTCACATGTCCAGGTAGTATGTACTGAATGTGTGTACATGGGGAAGATAGGTGAGCCCAGGGGGCTGTGTCCAACCCTCCCTGGCCCATCCTCTGCTCAGTTATCCTCAGAAAGCCTCATTTTCTTTAAAAAATGGAAGCATTCCTCTTACAGTCAGACCCAACTTTAAAGGCATCATCACCCCTACATAGGGTACACACTCCCTCCCAGAGGCAGGAGAGGCTGCAATCCACACACAGAGGTGATCCCTACAGCTGCTGCCTCAAATCTATAGCAGATCAGCTGCAAGGTGACACAGTGAGCACCCAGGCTGCTTGGGGATGACCAGGGAAGGAGAAGCACTTTGACCCCTCAAGGAAGAAAACTGGTTTCAATCGAGTTTATAGAAACCCAGTGTGAGGAAAGTTCACAGGTATGTGTGGGTGAAGCAATCGTGGGCATTGAATATTGGTCTCTTTTTTATATGCTTGTGGTGTTTCATGATCAAAGCTTCTAAAAGCCTCACATGCTATATACTCCTAGGTATAGTGGTGCATGTCTATAATCTCAACTCTCAGGAGGCTGAGACAAACCTATATAGTAAGATCTGGTCAGATGGGGCTCAGGACAGAGTGCAGTTGAATCACGGGGTTTGTGGTATGCCCCAAGATGTGTGGGGACCTGAAGCAGACCTGTGTGGCTAGCTTATGAAGTCTGGTGTCCAGACTACAGACTGTGACCGAGCCTAACGGATAGACTCGAAAGCCATGGGGAGCAAGGGAGACTGAGATGGGCTTCAGTAACCCTCAACTTGGGAATAGGGTGATCTGGCCTGACCTAGCAAAGTAGGACATGAAAGATGGGGACGTGCAAGCAACCCATGTGGGGTCCACACTGGGACCCTGCTTCTTAGAAGGCAACAGGGGCAGGGCCACTTCTTCATGTCAACCAGGTGGGTGGAGAGAGCCGGAGCCCTGAGGCAATATATCCAGCTGATTGCCGTTGTTTCCCCTGGGAATAAGGGTCAGTGTCTCCGGGAGATGAGTGAAGAGAAGGGAGCGTGGGGGTCCAGAGCTGGCATGAGTCTTGGAGGAAGAGCCTGCTCCACAGGCGCGCAGGGGCTGTGCATGTAGCTGCTGAAATAGCCAAATGCTGGGCTCCCAGGCCTCACCCTCAGACTTCTTGAAGACTGTTCTTCAAGGCCTTCATCTGCAGTCCTGCAGCGTCAGGGGCAGTGGGAGTTGTCCTCTGAGCAGAGCCTCATGCCATAGTCTCAATATGTTGTGCTGGGAGGCAGAGACTCTGGCTGCTCTAGTCTGATAATGTGACAGAGATGCCCGTGATGTCACATTCCAACAGAGAGGCCCCTGGGTCGGGCTGGGATGAAGGGCACTGCCAGCACATCAGACCACACACCAGGTGTAGAGATCTGTCCATCTGCATTTCCAAAATTATAATTATATAACCTTGCAAGATGTTCGAGCTGTTTGTGTTTAAGAGGAGAAGACCCTTTCCTCCGCTAGTTGCTATCAGTCAGTGTTCTATCTCAGCCATTGAAACCAGGTGTGGTAGCATAGGCCTTTAATCCCATCACATAGGGAGGCAGAGGCCCGCAGATCTTTGTACTCGAGGCCAGCCTGGTCTACAAAGTGAGAACAGTTATGCAGAGAAACCCTGTCTCAAGAAAGAGAGAGAGAGAGAGAGAGAACTAGAGTAGGGTAAGAACTGTTAGTCAGAAACTACCATCTTCAAGCCAGACACCTGTGTCCTCTGGAGGCCACTGTCAGCACCAGGGCTGGTTTGGAAGGCAAACCAGATATAGTTGGTAGCTTGGCAGAAACTCTAGTTCCTGAACCATTACTCAGGAATGAACAGCTTGGGGGTCACCCCAGAGCAGCAGTCCAGAGCTGGGTTCAAATCTCCACTCTGTAGATGTCCAACTACAGGACCCAGAATTCTTAGTTTCCTCATCTGCCAACAGCAGATGAATTAATTCCTATTAGATGCTTGCAGCTGCCAGGGACTGGAGGAGCTCTCAATTCACAACATGCAGAATTCCCTCCACTCCAGGGACCAACAAAGATAAGGCAGAATCATAGGCAGGCAAGGCCTCTTTGTAGAACAGCAGAACACAAGACACTGTTTCTCCCAGAAGGCTTTCTTTTTTTAGAGCCTGAGTAGTTCCATCATCCACCTTTGACACCCCACACAGTCCACATGACAGATGACAGTAGGTCAGGGAACACAGCCAGCTGGCCAGCACCTGTCCACCTCCTTTGAGAGATACTTACTACCTGAGGCAGAGTCCAGAACCAGCAGCTTATTCTG